ATCTATAGATAAAAACATCCATTTGATAATTAAACAGCAGCTTTTCGAGTGGCAGTGCCGATAGAAAACTGCAGTGTTTTGGCACTGCGGCAGTGCCGATAGAAAATCGGAGCTTTTTTCGCACTGCGGCAATAATGCCTATAGAAAATAACAGCTTTTTTCGCACTGTGGCAGTGCCGATAGAAAACAGCAGCTTTTTTGGCACTGCGGCAGTGCCGATAGAAAACAGCAGCTTTTTGGCACTGCGGCAGTGCCGATAGAAAACAGCAGCATTTTTCGCACTGCGGCAGTGCCGATAGCCTCAGCCTAGTAAAGCAATAGTAAGTCTATAATATAGACAAGTGTAGCTAATTGTTATGTAGAATATATAATCAGGTACATTGATTTGTTTGACAAAAGGGGTTGAAGCTATAGTCAAATGCAAGGTAACAAGTGCTTGCATTATAACTATTCTACAAGTGTTCATAAGTGTACAAAGAAATAGAAACTTTTATAGATTTTATAGTAGATTTTATAGATTTCTTTGACCAACGATAATGCAATCATGGATGTATTTGATGTAAAGTGCATAGAGTCACTGAACAATATGCGCTAAATAAATGTAAATTATTAAGCAATTAGTAGAGCTCCGCATAGTACACTATAGAAAAATTGAAAAAAAAATCCTGAGGGCCTGCAAGGCATTAAATCTATTGTCTTTCATCATTTTTCTTTCTATTTCTAATCATTTCTTTCATTTTCTTTTCTTATGTTTGCATGTCTATCTTTTCTTTTCTTTTCTTTTCTTATGTTTCCTTATCTTTCATTTCATTCTTATAATTCCTTATCTGTCTTTCATCATTTTTCTTTCTATTTCTTATCAATTCTTTCCTTTTCCTTTCTTATGTTTGCATGTCTATCTTTCATTTTCTTTTCTAATTTTTCATTATCTTTCCTTTTCCTTTTGTATCCTTAGTTTCTTTTACTTTCTTATCTTTCTTTTCTTTTACCTTCTTATAATTCCAAATTATTTCTTTCCTTTTCTTTCTTATGTTCCTTATCAGTTCTCACCATTTCCTTCCTTCTGTTTCCTAATAATTTCTGTCCTTTTCATTTCTTATGTTTCCTTGACATGACATGAATGGTTTGTGAATTTCAAATCAAACAGCATGGGAAGTGGAAAATAATTAAACAAAAATACTGAGAAATTGAGAAAATATCTAATTAATAAGCATATAATACTTTATTAATTGGCAAGTAGGCTTAAAATGTAAAGCTGTTTCCAGGACCCTATATCCAGTAGCAGTAGATGGGGTGTTGCGAAGGGTGTGTACGCACCCAACCAAATTTGATACGGTCCACATTTCCAAGACAGTCGAGAATGTACTGAATATAAATTCGTAATTCAGAAAAACGCAGTTCATCCTTCTTTTGAGATTTTGGCATAGGTCACCCTGTGAATGTAATCTATTATGGGAAGTGATCATATATTCCAAATAATTTTTAGAAACATGAATTATTATAAAAGTTATGCATTATATCCGTCCACCAAAGCATTATATACACATAGCATTGAAAAGTTGGAAATCAACTAATCATAGAAGACAGTTACAGGGGTGTATCCTGTATTTTTTCTTGGGTCGTGATCATAATTTTATTGACCTTTAACAGTGCCATCAGCTTGAAGCGGATAGCAGGCTCAGTTTCAGAAATGCTGGAATTGAGATAGATTACGTCACACAATTGGCAAGGTCTTCGGATTCATTGCTGATACCTCATCAATGCTTTTTCATTTATGTCACTGTGAAAAGGCCCTAGAAAAAAATATCTTCGGAAAAAATGTGGACGTTTAAAAATTTGGGGGGGGGGTCGTACGACCTTCCCGACCCCCCCCCCTTTTGCATAAACCCATGTAATGATGCATGTTTAATTACTTTCCCTATTGCGTAGGTACAATAATAGTTTGGTTATGGTCAGAATACAAATTTTGAGAGAATTACATTATTATTTTTTTACTGTTGTCCGATTATGTGCATTGAAATTGTGACGACGAACTTGGGCCTCGGTTGACACTTCATATCAAAGGGCATGTTAATTAATCTTGCACAGGAGCCTGTATCACATAGCTACGATGCCTCCTCCTCATTATCTTCATAATTATTACTTATCCATAGTAAAGTGGGGGAAAACTACAAATTCAGAGTGTATTCATTCATTGATAGACGTCTTACAATGCACGAAAGTGTGTTTCTAAGCATCTACAAAACAAAACTTTCCAAAGAAGGACCGCAGACTCGATTACTCACCCCACTCCCCATGACGGGACTGAGAACTGAGGTAAAGTATGGTAAGTGAGTGAACTCAAGAGAGATCTTGAACGATATGTGATTGAACATGTACAGTTCCCATGGCAACATTGTGGAGCTGCCTGCAGTTCGACACTTTGATATTGTTTTATAGCAAGGCATTTTAAGTGTGGTGCAATCTTTGCTCATTTTCCCTAAGTGTGGTGGTCAAGTATAGGCTTAGGGAAAATTCATTATTAAGCTTATGTATAGCTGGCGAGACCCCCGATATATAAATTTTGAACCTACGACCTCTCGCTATAAAGGCGAGCATCATAACCACATTCGTTGAGAGCTATGCTACACAATGTATTACCATGTCCTTTATTTAAACACTGTAAGTACCTTTCTTTGATCATTTATATGTACATACATATATATAGGGCTATACATACATATATTGCATCCCTCTGTGTTAAAAATGCACATCGCATAAGCAAAGTGATGTCTCTACATTGATGAAATTATATATAAATTATATAATTATACAAATTATATAAATAATATATAAATTATATATAAATAATATATAAATTATATATAAATTCAGAATATAATGTCCAGAATATCAGTGTTTGACATGCGAAATATGATTACATCACATCATGACCATATACAGGCACATCATGGCGTTATGTGCGGGGCGGTGGGGGGGGGGACTTGCACTTATATTTATGTCACAATGTATGGTTAATCAAGAACAATCACAGGGAGGATATATACATTTTTCTTATAACCTTCTTCAAAGGAATATACAATTTTTATTATATTTTGTTATTCAAAATCACACTAAAGCAAAAACTAATTATTTTAACTATTATTATTTTTTATTTGATTATCCATTTGTTTTATTTTTATATTTTTGACTAACAAAATATAACAGAAGTTAATGAATGCATGAACTGATATTTTGTGGGTTACATATCACTTTCTATACAAAGGAGATATCATAAATAAATCATATAAACTTTGTTGCCTGACGTGTGTGCATTGAAAGTATAATATTGTCGCCAAACCCACGATCGTAACTCGGGCTAGTGACACCTCCGTCGAAACTTCCGATCATCACCTATAGCTACATCGCTGCTGCTTCTTCCTCATCATCATTATCATCAATAATTTTCCATAATAAAATGGGCAAAGACTAGGAATTCGGAGTATATTCTTTTTTAATAGACATCTCAATTTCTTTTCCATGCATCAAAACTAAAAGTTTCTAAAGGATGACCCCAGAACTCCCCACCCCCCACCATTTAAAATTTGTCCACCCTAGGACCCTATCTGTGTGATAGTCATGGTGAATTCTGGATCCGTGCCTGCCCATTGGTACTGTATTCCCCGAGACTATTGTAAATACAGTAGCCAAACATGCGAATGTCAAGTTATTTTTCGTCAGATTCTTCTTGCAGGAGGGAGTGCCAATTTCCAGGAGATTTCCACGATTTGTGGGAGACTTGAGACACTTGCCCTTGTATCGCATTTGCCATATTTGGCGCCAATTTAACATAATTTGCTCAACATCAATGTTTCTTTGGTATCATTTCCTCAGCCCTCAATGGACCTTTCTATTAAGCCACGCCCCTTGGATATTGTTGCTATGGATGCACATATTCCTGGTCCTGCTCTGATTGGTCAGATAAGTTTGACTGACACTTCACAAATGTCCATTATTGAATGAAATATGACAATCTTTAAATTTTACCTCCATTACTGATCCTTCTGAACTATAGAGGGCGGCAAGCACAGAATCCTGAAAGAAATAGTAACAGTTTATTGAAGCTGTTCAGATAATAATTTTCTGACACAAAAATTATTGTATGATATATATATGATATGCCTATATATGGTTATGATGTGATGTCATAATAACCATATTTAGGCATGTCACATGTTTTTTGTCAAATAAAATTTGATAATCTGGATTTTTAAATAAAAAAAAACAAAAAAAACATGAAAATACACAAATAAAAACGGATTGAGATAACCAACTAACAATTTTACTTAAGTAAACAATTTATGTAAAAGCAAACAAATATTAAAACTCACAGAGTGAACCTGAAAGCTGATGTTTGTTCCACAGTTATCAAGATCATGACAAAGGAAGCTACAAATAGTGCAAGTACAGTATTTCAATTTCCCTATGAAAATAAAAATAAACAATTTGATGGCATGAGCCGTTACTGGGACCGGAAATGGGGGAGGGGGAGCGAGAGGAGTTAACAACTGATACCAAGGTCAAGTTAGTTAGCCTTCATCGACTTATTCTAGAAGGCCGGAAATGGCTGGGATGGGAAAACTAGGCCTAGCCTATTTTTTTTTTTTTTTTGGTCCGACTGCCCGACGAGCTTCGGCCGATGGGGGGGGGGCTTGACAAGACCGATAGGGGGCTTAATCCCCCACTGGCGCCGCCACTGACCCTCTGACCGTAGGGTAAATTGCAGGGTATGCTATGTATTGGCATATTTAGGATGTGCGAGTGTCGTGCACACACCTCCCCTCTGATAAAAATACTTGCCCATCCACTGAAAAATCATGCTCAAGTAGTTAAAAATCACCTCAAATCACATTATTTTGCGAGTTATCTCCCTCACCTAATCACCGATCCCCACTTTACCTTCCCACCACATCACCTCCCCTGTTTCAAGGTCCCCCTACGCCACTGACGCTAGGGCCTGCTAGTAGGAAAAGTTTGTAAGCCTACTACAGGATCAGATTGCGCTATAGCCAAAATATAAATGTATGTTATTTTTAATACCGGCATGATTGTAGTATCTTCTTTTCAAAATAATTCCTATTCCTCTATCTTAACATATTTCGAATAATAATAATTCAAAGTTTCTTCTATACCGGTTATTATGCATGCAAATTTAATCTAAACTTTAATCATTGAGATTGTGAATGTGACTTATCCTAGATACCAAAGTAGGCCAAACATTGAAAAACTTTGCTTTTACAATAAACTACAGCAACCCACTCGAAAAAATTAAGGTTTATATAGAAGACTGTGGCTAAGAAATGCTAAATCAAACGCAGAAACTGTACTGCTATATTTTCTTATTTATTTTAGCCAGGGTATGCACTGCATACCTTGCTTGCCTTGACGGTCCACCACTGCTCCTGGGCATCCTGAGGTGCAAACATAGCTGGGCAGATCAGGATTTAAGCACTGCAGGACCAAGGCTCTGGAATAACTTACTTTGAACATTAAAAATCTCGTTCACTTGATAATTTTAAGTCACTACTCAGAAAGCATCTTTTGTTTTTTTTTTAATAATCTCTTTTTTTGAACTGCACCTTGAGCAATGACTGTTGAAATGGCACCATACAAATTGATTGATTGATTGATTGATTGATTGATTGATTGATTGAAAACACGGCTCTAGTTTATGTAAAGTATCTTATTTATAATTTGTCTTGTGAAAAGGATTGCTACGAAAATATAAAAATATCTATATAATATATACAAAACTGTAAAACAAAAAACCTATTTATATAAAAAATTGTTTCATTAAATACTTACTGTACAGTGCTTTGCTAAAAAAATAAGGTTTGGTGCAACGCTCATTCCAGCATTTACGTATTGTTTATTGCACTATTTTCAGGAGCACACACTGCACCTACTATACCAGACACAATTTAATGCAAGTTAACGAGGCACAAGCAACAGATAATTTTCAATGACAATCAGCACGCCGGCAGCGTCACTCCATCAAACGATCACAGAAAGCTGAGAAAGACTTATCTGCCAGCAGTCATACAACAGTCGTAAGGATGCAGTACAGTATAAGCCCGGCTTTTAATTTTAGGGTGTGTTAACTGCTGCCTTGCATGGACAAATTATCACCAGTCAGACTCAATGTCCGTGTTCGGATGTAAACTCAAATACATGTGTAATCTAATAATAGCATTGGGGCTAATTATGATGGCCATTCGGACGAGTAGAATAAGAACCGATAAAACCAGTAACTTCTTGTATGTCTTTCCTTCAACCAAGGTCAGACACAGGTTTTTTAGCAATATTTTTGTTGTTACTGTTTAAAACTATACATAATCTAGCCTTTGTAACTTCATTTGGAGCTTCAAGTGATTTCTTTACCGTGATAACAAAACTTTATTAAACTCGGCACATGTCCGCCACTAGACAATGCCATGTTGTTGTTGACTGTAAAACAACACAAAAGTTGTTGTAACAAAACTAATTTAAAAGTAGCTATAAAATTTTTTTTCTGTTATTAAAATAAAAATAATATCTAATTATAATTTTTAAGTTTGTTTTTAAAGCAGTAATACTCACTTTAAACAATAAACTATGAAATAGAAATACAACATTTGAACAAATACAGTGATGCATGTAAAAATGTTTTTTGCTCGCTAGCCTACCGTAAAGAACTTTTGTTTGTTGTAAGTTTAAACATAATTTTCTTTGCTAAAGATAGAAATTTTACTCTGGCCCGGTTGTAGGCCTATACAAATCTAAAGGTCAACTTGTGACATGGGCCTTTTTAATGTGATAAATTACACCTGGAGGCAGCATGTAATTGAAATATCCACTAAAAAAGATGGGTTTTTGGGACAGATGTTTTTCAAATTTTTTATGGCTAGAGGCAAAATTTAATTGCCACACGTGGAAGTTGGAAGCACCCGGTAAAACTTTACTCGTCCGAACGGGCCCAACGTCGGATCAGACTAAGAGTTAATTTGTGTCTGACATTTGATCAAATAAATTGTACATCTGTCAGAGTACGCTCAAAAGAGGTTCTGCAGAGTAAAGAAAGATGATGATGGAGCGGATGCCGGCTGTCAAAGAGCTTCTGGCTTTGACACTGCAATTATTTAAATTCATTTCCCATTTGCTGGATTTGTTGAGATTCAGCGTCTTGTTTATTTTATAGGAAGGGGCTATATAAATCATATCAATTATTAATCTAATCAGCCATCAACAATTTGAACTGAACAACTACAAAGATTTAGTTACACTATACATAGTAATATTCACAAACATACATTTATATAGCAGGGCTTGTTATTAGAAAATGGCAATTAATTGGGTGAGGGAGAAATTTAAGTTAATAGTGTAATAATAGTTTTACACACATAATTACTACTACAGTCATAAAAGTAGTGTTAAAGTTCAAAGCAACACAGAATACCTCCTAGCAGACAGCACTGCCTCAGTATTTGGGATTTTTACTAGATTTAAGCCAAGTGATTTTCAAAACCCAGGTGCTCTATATGAATGTATGATTTAAATTGAATAAAAAATTTAAAAAAGAAAAAAAAAGGATGCTGTATTTTTCACGCAGCTGAAGGGTAGTTTGATTTAGTCAACGTACCGTAGAATTCTATGGATATTTTATCCTTGACACTTGTGTTTCCCACATGAACCAGATGTCAATGGCTATGTTCTCACACAGGTGCTAATGGTTAGCAGGATCCGGATCCTGCTAACCATTAGCTGCTATGCGTCCATACGAGAAAACCCTGATCCGGATACCAAAAATATGATGATCGAATCATTGGCCAATAAGAAACTGGAAATTGTAAACGCGTACGTGTTATTGGTTGATGATAAAAACGCACTCAATATGCTAACCAATAGCGCTTGCTAACCGTTAGCTGTATCCGGATACTGCTAACGAATTGGGCGTTCTCACTAGAAATCCGTCCGTGCATTTCGGAAAATAAGGGACAATTTCCGTGCATATTTTGCCAAAAATTAGGTTTTAACCTAATCTTAATATATAAAAAATGTATTAATGCACAGTATTTACTTTCTGCGCTCCTATTTTCCTATCAATTTTCTACGTAAATTTGAGCTGGATTATGAGGTATCATCCGCTCAATTAAAAAACTCTACAGTATGGCAGACAGGTCTCCGGTTAAATAGACTAGAATCTAGATAGATAGACAGGCCTAGATGAAAAGCTTGATTTGATTGAGCACATAAAAATTAAAGTTTGCTATCTGTGTGGTTTCTCAGCGTCTGTAAAAACCAATCTACGTTTATTTACGTTCATTTTGATATAACAATAATATGTTAGATTTATATAGCGCTTAATGGCAACAAGGCCTCTAAGCGCTTCACACTACTACCCCACGTCATTGGATTAGAAAAGCATGACGTATGTGTAACTGCGCCCTCAATTTTACTTTTCCAGTGAGTGCTTGTTAGAATTTCAATACTCAAAGCAGTCTAACCGTGATAAAGCCGGCTTTAGTCAAGGAGTTAAGACTACCAGTTAAGACCGTTTTGTAGCAGTCCGCCCAAGGACTTAAAGTGACTAAAACAAGAAATTGATTTATGATATATTTATATTCTCCACAAGATAAGCTATAAAATGATGGGTCATTTAATCAATCACTCAATCGGAGATTTACCTGGCGCACATATCCATCACCCCGTTAGGAAAGAAGAAACTTATTTCATTGGAAAACATATAAAAAGCATTTTTACAGTCTTTGTGTACCTACTGTACTAGAAGTGGGCCTTGGATTCCTTGTCGTGGAATTGGCTCTGGTGACGCCACTGAGGCACACAACCATATCAACTGATTGAGTAACGTTTCTCAGTAACAAAGGTGTGTCACGTGTTGTGATGTCACCAGTGGTGTATCTAGGGGTATAGAAATGGAGTGGGGGCTGATGGAAGGGGGCAGGGGAGAACTTACTCTCTTGCTGCATGCTGTCTTCTGTGATTGTGTTATCTTGATCTACAGCTGCTTCTAATCCTTTGAGAGCATCAGTGACATTTTGTACTTTGAACTCCTCCATGCCTTGCTGGGAATCCCCGACCTCCATGATGTTGACGTCTTCTTCCCCTTCCTCATTCTCTGAGCTACTAACCTCTTCAAAGATCTGTTTCCAGTCGT